CACTACTACCACTACTACCACTACCGTGTACTCCAAATTGAGAGTCTAGATGGCAGCCAAAGAACAAGGGCGATCAGACTGAATCGCAGAATCTGTCTGCGAGGTTTTGCCACATGCTCAACAGCACGCTCTGCGCGACTGTCACAGCCTCGGTACTGCACACGTCCAGCTACAACGCATCGCAGGTTGGTACATATGCATGCACATCATTTCAAGACAATGTGATTCGATGTTGCCTGTTGTTACATTGCCTTGTCGTCGTGGGGTGATGAGTGAAGGCTCGCTAAAAACATAGGAGATCCCTTGAACGTCAGCTGTCGTGCTTGTTTTGCCGAACTGCCGAGCTTTTATTCCGTCGCCATGTCGTCCCGCCGAACTCCGTAGACCTTGAAAGACAACAAGCATGGTTATCGTGATTATAGCTGCTTACAGCAACGGTACCACAACCACCAGTAACATAAGAAGAAGTCTCTCCTTGTGACTGCTTCTCTGTTAACCCTAGGGGATATCCTTCACAAGGGTCGGGAGTCGGCAGTCTTCGGATTCCGGGCCGGGTCCGAGGAACGAGCCCTGTGCAGCATCGTTGAGAACTATCAGGAGCAGGACGGCGTGCGAGCGCGGACCCTGGGGCCCTGTGCAAGCATACCATGCACACATGATCTGGCCATTGAGAGCTGAAGTTCTCGAAACCAACACAAAAAAGCCAATTTTCTTAGGTCCCTCGTGCCTTGGTTCCTTTCCTGCTGGGCCAGGACGGGACCCTTGTGATTCTTTGTCACTGCCCCATAGTCTTCGCCTTTTCCCACGGCGTCACCGCGCAGTTGCCAGTCTGGTTCCAGTCCTCGCGTTAAACAGCCGTAGCGAGACGATGTCCGTGATTCCGAGCTCCTATACAAGGCATGTGGTGCACATGTGAACAGACCATGTGATGTCAAAGTATGTTCTGCGTCGCGCTCGAAAGGAGTTCTTCCCTTTCGTGAAGACGGTCAAAGAAGAGCGACCCGCCGCGAAGGGCAAGGCCTCTTTCGAGACAAACATGGGGGGTCTTTTAAACTTAGAATAGTACCTCGGGGCAGAATATGTTCTGACATTTATAGCCTTTATACTAACATTTGTATATTTATAGCCTTTATACTCCTATAAAAGGATTATCAGGGGATGCGATTGCTGTATGTGAGGGGATCCACAGAGGCTTCCCCCGGAATGTACGCAAAGAATAGCTGCTTCTGCTCGATCTCCTAGACGCAGAGGCTTTTCAGCTTCATGGGACGACGCCGGCGTGCCCGAACTTTCCCAGCGTTTGAACAGGATATCAAATAAAAAACACAGAAGGATCGAATGTGATTCACATGCGATTGATCTGAGCTTCGGTTTCGATGAGGATGCAGGTTTGGTCGTTTGCAGCTTCGTATTCGCCTACCGACCCGCCTACATCTCAGCAGACAGCCTGAGACCTTCAGTGACCAAGGAGTACAAACCACTCCCTCCCTAGGTCCCTCTCAAAGGATAGGGACGAGCAGAGCAGAATCTATTCTTGTGGAACCCTGGCCCAAATTCCATGCCTTGAATTCTCAAGACCTAAAGCTGAAGCCCTATTCTCGCAAGCCCTAAGCTTTGATACTCCTACACTTCGGCAGGCCCATTGGGGCTTCAATTTTAGGATGTTAACGCCTGGCTTGGACTAGCAGTGGCCAGCATGCAACCACGCTTCTCGAGAATACCTAGAAAAAAACCCCTAAACCCTAAGAGCCCCAAACCCTAAACCNNTAAACCCTCAACCCTAAACCTTAACTGCTAGGTGGACAAAGGAGCTTTAAAAACACACACTCTGAACCCCGAAATTTGAACCCTAAACCCTGGGTTGTGAGACTCTGTGGCATGGAACGACGTACAGTCGCCTGGGCTTTCGTAGGCAGACGGCCGTGGCAGACGGCCGTGGGAAGTCCACGGAAAAAGTAGCCCCCCGCCAAAAAAACCTTGAACCCTGAAGCCGAAAACGACCAGGCGAAGAGTCCGAGACTTAGCACTCTTTGCCAACCTTGCATTCAGTTTCAGGGGTTCCGGGGGGGGGGGGTGAGGGGCCTAGGGACCATTTAGGGGTTAGGAGTGTGGTAGCCTTTGGCGGTTTGGGTTTTGGGGGTTCAGAGTTTTAAGGTTAGTCGAAGATAGGGGTTCTGAGTCTGTGCGTGCTCTGCTGAATCAGGCACACCGGGGTTTGGGGTTTAGAGTTTGGGCT